GGTATCTACATAATAACAATTGTGTACCAATCTGTGGTGATGGTATAATTGCAATTGATGACTAATTCTAGACTGAAGGGGAATGTCATTTTTGTCAATTCTTAGGGGTTTAAAATTGTTAGAAACACAATATGGGTATCTGTATGGAATGTTATTCCCTGTTGGAATAAATTAAAGTGCTTATTAATTTCTTATGCTTTGTAAATTATTTCAAGTATTTTAATGTTCCATGTTTAAAAGAATAAATTTCTAATGAGCCTTAAACACCTACAAAAAGTATAGTAGTTGTAGAATTAAAAGTAAAAGCATTGCATTTTTATTCCTTTTTAATTTAACATCCAATTGGCTCAAAATTGTAAATCTAAGAATTTGATTGCTTTTATTTTGGCATTTAATATAATTTAATTATTAATTATAATTGAATTAATTAGCATGCATTAATATGACTTTTTCTACATGTAGTTTTGGGTTTAATTTATGAAAGTTAAATAATTTTCTTTTGATACTTAGTTAAAGATAATAAATCGAATTGATGTACTTTAAGTTAAATTTGCTTTATATCATACTGATTTAAAACATTCTCTAAGTCCAAATCAAATAAGCTATTGATAAAATAATCAATAAATTAAAATTTATCTAAAATTAAAAAATATATTACCTATCTGTTATGAAAAAGGAAAGTTCAAAATACAATTCCTTTTTAAATGAATTTTTAAAGAATACTTCAAAAAATAAAATTCTATTTTTCTTATAAATATCTTTTTGTTGTTTTCCAATACCATGTAGATTGTTAATTACTATTATTATTATTGTTCCTATTTAATCAAAAATAACATAATAATCAGAATTGATTATTTAGCTACAAGCCCTGATTCATTTTCTCTTATTTATAGGATAACTATTCTTATTAATTAAAAATTGTTTTTCTTTATATACTTTAAGAATAGAATTCGTATACCATTATTACATTTCTTTTGTATAAATTATACATTTTTATGATTTAATTCATAAATAAATAAATTCTCTCCCTTTGAAGGCAAAGAAACTAATAAAATATTAGAAATTAAACATAATCTGTACCCAATTTGTATCTCTTTTACTAAATATCAATCTCAAATTTAATTGTCATGTCTAAAAGTAATTACAATTACTATGATTTTCTATAATCCTAATTCCCTAGACATTTTTAGCACTATCACTTAATTTTTATTCTGTTTTCTCCCAAAAAAATTTTATCGTGCCATTAAAGCTATCTGTAAAATAAGATTTTTATCAGAATTTATAGAGCAGTATGGAATAACATATAAAGGTGTACTTATGAAGCATTCATAGTCTATAAAAATTGAATCAGAGAGGAAAGTCAAATTACGAATCTTTTTGAAAAAATAATTCTCTCCTAATTAGCTGATGGATTATAATCAATTTAAAGCTTTATTTCACAGAAAAAGCTCCCCAATTATAATATATATAACAATGAGCCATTTAATTTTATTTTTAAAAGATGAACTCAGATACTTAGAATAATTTGATTTTGTTAAAGTCAATGATATAGAAGTATGGAACCAAAAATTATGAAGTTAAGTAATTGGATTAAATCCTTTCGAAACTTTTTAAAGCTAATATTCTCGTCTAAATTACTTAAGATAATAGAATCATTTACTCATAGGATGGAGTCATTCTAAGAATGTAAATGATCAATTATAATTATGCAAGTGAATAAATTTAAGATACTTCTAAGGATTTTGAACTTTTGACTAATAAGGAATAAATCAATTATCTATATTGGCAAGGGGAATACGACCAAAATTAGCAGAAAGGTGGTAAATGGACAGTTATTTGGAAGGGAGAAGTTCTTAGTTAAGTTGGTGGGTACTATAGGTATGGATTAAAGTAAGGTTAGTGGTGTGAATTAATTATGAATTATTGGAGGTATATATTAAATAAGAAATAGAAATAATCGATATCAAATATATGAAATAGGAGAATACTATAATGATAAAAAATATGGGAAATGGATATATTTCCATGATAATTAAAAGATGTATATTATTTCTCTATTATTAAGTTCTGGTGGATGGTATAATGAGAATGGATAGAAGAATGGTAAATGGAATGAATTAAGTGATGGTTTTATGAATGAATCATAAGTTATTTATATAGGTGAATATAAAAATGGTAAAAAAATTGGTATATGGAATATTTTATATAGGTGGAATAAAAACCAACCATTCAAAAAAATGTAAAATTATTATAAAAAGTTAATTTTTAGTGGTGAAGGAATATATGATTAAATAGGCTAAATTAAGATTGGAAGATGGATTGAATCGAGTGATGATTTATTTAATAGATCCTAAGTCCTTTATTTTGGTTAATATAAAGTTGGTTAAAAAGTAGGAAAATGGGATATTTATTACGCTAGTGAATAGATGTAAAATATTATTCCAAATTATTAAATTCATAGTGGTGGCGGATTATATGATGAAGAAAATTATGGGAATAAGATTGAGATATGGATTGAATTGAGAGACGGGTTTTGGTGGGATTCAAAAGTCATTTATTGTGGTCAATATAAGAATGATAAAAAAGTTGGTCGATGGGACGTTTTGTTTAAAAGGACTGATTCATTTTCAAAATATGAATAATTGTAATGATTAGAATGATATAAACTTTAGGGGTGGAGGATAATACGATGAAAAAGGCTCATTTAAATTTGGGAGTTGGACTGAATTGAGCGATGGGTTTAGCATTAATTCTAAAGTAATTTATAAAGGAGAATATAAAAATGATAAAAAAGTTGGTAGATGGGATATATATTATCAAGAGACCAATTATGATCAATTTAAACAGACGTAGAAAATATTATTCATATTTTAAGCGGTGGAGGCTCATATGATGAGAGAGGGGAAGGTTTTAAAATTGGATAATGGATTGAGATAAGTGATGGATTTGAAAATGATTCAAAATTAACCTATAAGGGTGATTATAAAAATGGTAGAAAAGTAGGTAGATGGGACAGTTTTTGGAATTGGTTAGGCAATAAAAAGATGTAATATTATGATGCAAAAATGCATTAGTGCTGAAGGATACTATGATGAAAAAGATTCAATTAAGGTTGGAAAATGGATTGAGCTAATAGATGGGTTTAGTTTATTAGTAAGTCGTATATAACGGTGAATATAAGAATGGCAAGAAAGTTGGTAGATGTGTAATTAAACATAGAGAGAAAGGCAAGGAACAATTTATCTAGATGTAAAAATGATATTATTTAAAATTATACCTAATAGAGGAGCTGAATTGTATGATGAAGGAGGTGATGGGATTAAGATTGGAAGATAGATTGAGTTGTGGGAGAAATTCAATGATTATTCAATAGTTTATTTTTAAGGTGAATATAAAAATGGTCGAAAGGTTGGTAGATGGGATATTTATTTTAAAGATTATGATTTGAATTTTAAAAAGATGTAAAAATATTGACTACAAATTTAAGTGGTGGAGGATCATATGATGAGAAAGGTAATGGGATTAAGAATGGCATATGGAATGAGATAAATGATTGTTTTAAGAATAGTAATTTAATACTTGATAATGGTGAATATAAGAATGGTAAAAGGATCGGCACCTGGATATAAGTGGATTTAAAGAAGATTATAAAACATAGCGAATTAAAAAAGGATAATTGAATAATTAAAATAAATAAAATGTAAATTTTATTAGATTTCTATTGTTTTGTATAAATTAATTGTTATTTTTCCTTTTTATTATTGTAGTGGAAAGATGTATTATTTATGTGGGAACTCTAATAATTTTTTTAAACACTAAAATAGATTTTAAAATGAATTTCTTAGCAATCTCGACTTATTCTGAATTATTTTGCTGATTAAGGTTTGTTGTTGCAATTTAATCATTAAAAGCCTTGCTCTGATTTAACTAATTTGGACTTATTTCATATTTGTGAGAAATGTTAGATCCTGATATAAGTAGAATAGGCACTTTGATAGGCAATACTATATATATGTAATGACCATTTAGATCAAGATTAAATACAGTTTACAGCCTTCAAGTATAAGAGTAAATAACAACAAACTGTTGAATTATTCCTCAATTGCATTAGATTAGCATTTTTTCCTGTTATTTATCTCACTTTTGCTATTAATTCTT